AGTAGCCTTCTTGCTTCCGCATCAGAATATTCTGGGTCGAAGCCATCCATCAGGATTTGAGCTCATTGTTCAGACTAAGATGACTAAGTCATCTAAACTCTGGCTGACTCGCATGCGAAAGTGGGGTAAGAATTCTGTTCTTGTCTACCTGTTCAGAATAATGAAGGTCCCAATTCAATAAAAAAAATGAGTTGGTCTTGGTATCTTGGCCAACAATTCTCCAGGTTAATTTTTCATTCACGTTCACCCCATGGCTATGGGTGGGATGTTACTGGTGCAAATTGCTGCTGTGTATTCTTGCATTTGCTCATTGTCTTGAGTGTAATTACCGAAGAAACTTTTGAAATGCTTTGACGTGATTAAGGAACTAAGAAAATAAAGTTTGCTTTCTTCCCACTTAACACATTGGACCTTTGTCGTTCTCTTCAGGTGACGTGGGTCTGCTCCGAGTCTGGGAAAGAACTATCTATGTTGATTGACGATATGGATCTGGGATTATTCTCAGGTAAATTTGCAGTGATTTCTTTGCCATTTCCACCTGGACAATCTTGGGAATTAGTCCAATGAACGCCATCTTCATGAAACAAAAAGTGACTGGCAAATCTGCTTTTACTTATTCGCAGGATTGTGATACGATGGCATAAATCCTATCACAATAATCCTTAATATAATAATAATTCTTGCATTTGATAAAGCGCCTTATCAGGTCTTCAAGACGTCTCAAAGCGCTTCACAGAATACACTGTAAAGTGAGATTGTATCTACTTCAACGATAGCATCGTGGGTAATGCAAACCGTTGATTTTTTTTAATGTCGTCTATGGAACGACTCATTTACTCTCACTCCCAATTCTGCTTATCCCGAGAGCTGTTTGATTCCACCGCCCGCCTTGCAATAAGCAAAAAAATTTGACAAGCGAACCCTTGACCAGTTGAAATCCAAATTATTGCTACATTTTTCTTTTCTCCCCCCTACCCCCCCACCCCAGGATTAAAGCATTTCAGCCACAACCAGCTGGCCCTGGTGTGTGACAAGCCAACCCGATGCTCTGCAGTGTATGTCTCGGGACTGCAGGTCAACGTAGAGCTGAGCGTTGGTGGCTTCCTTCAGGCGACAGTCTACCTCCCGCATTCTTTCTACAACAGGACCCTTGGACTCCTCGGCCTGTGGAGCAGCAGCCCGACAGATGATTTTTTGTATCCGAATGGCGATCGTCTGTCCTCCTGGCCTGGAAACGTTCCCTCTCAAGAGGAAGTGAACCAGTTCGGGCTTTCCTGTAGGTCTTTGGTAAACTTGAGGTCCAGTTTCAACCTCGATCTGCAGATTCTTTCAAGCCGTTTCGTCTTTGCTCTCGTTTTCTCTCATCCTCCCTGCACAAGGACACAGGTTCTGAGACGTATTTGTCAGGCGCTGCTCTTGATGTAACATGTGAACCTAGACCCTAAATGCCAGCCAGAGATCCATCAATTGTGTGGGAATATGGGGATGGAGGGGCAATCACAACTGAAGTTTGATCATGTCCATACTCAGTGTCCATGCGCATCGTCCACGCACAAACACTCTAATTATAATTAATAATTATACTAGTAATCCTTGCATGTGGTACAGTGCCTCATCAAGTCGGAAGGACGTCGCAAAGAGTTTCACAGGATTTAGTGTAAAGTGCAGTGACTGTGTTTTTGGGGGAGAACACAGCAGCACAATGGCACACAGTAATGTCCCACGAACAGCCATGAAACGAGTGACCAATTTTATCTGGAGGGTTGTTGGCCAGAACACCGAGAGAAGCCTCCCTTCTCTTTTTTTCGAATAGAGCCACGGGATCTTTAACGTCCGTCTGACCAGGCAGACGGGACTTTGGTTTAACTTCTCATTAGAAGGACGGCTCCTCCAACAATGCAGCACATACCCACCGCTGCATTGGAGTGTCTTCTTAGACTGTGCGAGTTCCAGTACCGACGTAGGATTTGAACCCACAACTTTCTGACTCAGAGGCGAGAGTGAGTAGTTGTAAATCATTCAGTCCTGTCCCAGTGAGACACATAGGAACAGGAGGAGGCCATTCAGCCCCTTGAGCCTCTTCAGTCATTCTATAAGATCACGGCTGATCTGCGCCTCAACTCCAATTGCCCCGTAACCTTGACAATCTTACACAACAAATATCTATCCAATTCAGTCTTGAAAATGTGAGTGGATCCACAGCCTTTTGGGGGAGAAAGAGTTCCAGATTTCCACTCCCCTTTGGGTGAAAAACTGCCTCCTGATTTCACTCCTAAATGGCCAAGCACTAATCTTAAGACTCTGCCCCCCCATGCCCTGGATTCGCCAGCAGAGGAAATTTACTGGGAGGATTCTTCTTAGACAAAAGGGACCATATTTTTAGATACGTTACTCCATTTAATCCAACTCAACAGCTGAGTAGCCTGGATTCAAACCCCAAATCTTCCAGTTACAACTGCAGCAGCCAAACAAGAAAGCTGGGATGTTGATGCACCTTTGATAGCAGGAAGTGAGTGAGGAGAGCATATCAGGTATAATACGCTCAACAGTTTCTGATCTTTTAGAATTGATTTAAACAACATTCTTAGGAAAGAAAACACTTACAGGAAAGGAGGAACCGAAAACTTCCAGAGTTTATGGTGGGGGAGGTGATGGGGCAAAACATTTCTTTCAATCTCACTTCCCGGCAACTGTATCTTTCAGGGTTTGTGCCGGATCCCGAAAGTCTTTTTATCACACATCAGCCAGAGGAGAAGCAGAGATCACTTAAGCTGCTCTCTCCGTCGGAGCTCATCGCCTCCGCAGATAAAAAGATGCTGAAAGATATCAACAGGACCTGCTCAGGCTATATGGCGTGCATTCATGACATCCTGGCCACTAATGATACCGTTCTGGGATCACAAACCAAGGACTACGCATTAAAGTACAAGAAATCCAGTGTTATTTTAGGTTAGTATTTCCTAGCCAGGGATTGTATGTTAACACTGAGTTATTAAGACTTTTTTATAAAGCCTTAATAAAATCCCGATTAGCATTTTTTTCATTACAGAAGTTTACTCCAGGGTTTTTTTCTACCAATTTTCTCCCCTCATTATGTTAAAGAGCAGATTTGCAAGCGGTGCGAGTGTGTGAGGGGGGAGATGACGTTAGAAGCAAAGTATTGTCCATTAAGCAGCATTGCACTGCGATACATCTCGGGCACTTTGTAAGTGGGAATTGTCATTATCAGCGCACATTGTTAAACTGCGCTAAGTAGAGCATCGCTGGTTAATCATATAGCATGTTTAGACACCAAAAGCTTTGCTTGTGTATGAAAGGTCTTTAGGGGACTGGGTTTGCAGTGGTGAGTTGGAGGACCGAGGCTTAATTAAATCCAGCCTGCAATGATGGAATGGAAAGGAAATCCTCTTTGTTGGCTGTAACGGTCTTGTGAACCATCTCAATCCTGTGTGGACAAAACAGAAAAGGCGCTCGATTCAGCACTAATTGGCAATCTTACTCACAGGGGGTTTATTGAGGAAAAGTGGAAAGCATCACATCTGCATCAGCAGAGGGTGCTCTTCTGCAGTTCTGAGCTTGGGGCTGAGGTGCTTTGCAGACGCTGCTGTGTGTTGGTTTTGTAGTTAGTAGCGACAAACAAGCTCTTGATTGTGAGCCTATTATCCTTTTGAAGTGGCGCTGAAATAAACCGAATCTCTCTGTCTGATTGTTGCATTTAGGAAACATGCCGCCAATGCTTACCGGTCCTTCCGTTATCCAAGTTCAAGTCAACAGACCGGCCAGGGTTCGATTTACAGCCCACGATCTTAACAACGACACAGTTATCTTTGCACTTGTGCCACCGGTCCCCGCGGGAGCAGCGATAAACTCAGGTTTGTAACTTAGTCAGAATTTGCGGAGTCCCGTAGAGCACTGGTTAGAGCGCTCGCCTAGCAAGCAAGAGGAAACTGGGTTCGATTCCGAGGTAGAGCCTAACATTAGGCAAGTTTCCTTTCTCCACACGCCTCTGTTTACCTAGCAGTAAGAAGGAACCCAGTTGGTGGATCGATTGGTGGATCGCTTTTCCGGGGGTAATAATCCCTTTTTTTTAAAAAATAGTTTTACATTTGTCACTCCATCCACGACATTGCTGTGCGCAATCGGCTGCCGTGTTTCTCCCACAAATATACAGTGAATTTACTTTGCGGTATACTCTGTGAAACACTTTGAGACGTCTTGAAGACGTGGCAAGAAATCTTGTTTAAAGAAAACTTCAGTTCAATCCTCTGTCTATTTTGGACTATCCATACAACTAAAGAAGCTAGGGCAGAATATGATGTACAGCAACATGCACATAAAAGGGTTTGAAGAATGAGTAGGAAATGGGAATGGAGTCATTTCCTTCAGAGTTTGTACCCTTGCAGACTCAATGGACCGAATGGCTTCCTGTGCCGTAATTTTATTGATTCAGTGTAAAAGAAGTTACACCAATCATTAACGGATAGCTGGTCAGAACTGTAGCGTGACTCATATCGAATTCAAAACATCCCGAAAACAGTTACAATAGTAATTGTGTTGATATCCTATTCAATAACATTTGGTGGTTACCGCTTTATAAGAAATGTATAATTATCCAATTTCTAAATGATGTGTTAGAAATTCGACAATAATAATAATCCTTGCCTTTGGTATAGCGCCTTATCATGTCTTTGAATTGTCTCAAAGAGCTTTACAGAATATACTGCAAGTTTGTATGTTGACTGTATATTTTGTGGGCGAAACGCGGCAGCCAATTGTGAACAGGCAGTGTCCCACATACAGTCGTGGATTGAGTGACCAAATTATTATTATTTATTTTGGGGAGGGATTACTACCCCCGGAAAAGCGATCCGCCAATCGACTAACAACCGTGTTCCTACTTACTGCTAGGTGAACAGAGTCGTGTGGAGTAAGGAAACTTGCCTAATGTTTCGCCCAGAAAGATTTAACTATTCTCTGTGATTCCTTCTAACACATTAGCCATGGGTCTGCTCAGCTGGACACCACGAGACCTCAAGCCAGTCAAGTTAACTGTTCGAGTGAACGATCACATGAGTGGATCAATTCTGACACTCACCATCCAGATGTGCAGCTGCATGAATGGCGGGGCCTGTGATTATAGCACTGTTACACAAGTTTCCCTGAAGGGAACTTTCCAGGTTAGTAGCTCTGCGAAAACTACCAGGGGAACCTGTGGCACTGCTTTTGCGATCGGGATAAATAAGGGAATTTCTCTCTCCCGGTGTCCTGCCCATCATTGCCCCGTATAAAATTGGTCATCTACTCCATGACTGTTTGTGGGACATTGCTGTGCACAAATTGGCTACCATGTCCACCAACAAGTACACAGTTACTACACTAAATGGTCAAAATCCTGAGAAGCACTTTCAGATGCTTGCATGATGTGATAAGGCATTATATCCCTCCAAGATGCTACCCCATCCAGTTATATAAATATAAGTGCAAGTTGTTGTTGCATAAATGCAAGGATTGTCATTGCATTAATTATTCTAATTATAGTATTATAAGATGAAATGGGTATTGGTAAAATGAAGCAGCTGAAGACATTGGGCAGTTGATGTTTCCACTGCAAATTCTGTCCCTTCTTTTTAGTACAAAATATAATTTGGGATTTGGTAAAGTCTTCTTTCTATAAATGGTCACAAGTTTAAAAGAGAGGTTAGGTTAAGAAGGCTCTTTGGCTTATTTGATCTCAGCCTCCCAGAATAGAACTCTTTTCCCTTTGTGGGATCAAGTTGTTCCTTAAATGAATCCTGAATCCCAGTCTCAGCCACCCTTCGCTTCCTGGTAAATCTGTTCCAGCTGCACATACAATACAAGTTTACATTTAGATTGCGCCTTTCAAGTCAGGAGGACGTTCCAAGGAGCTAAAGTATTCTCCTCGTGCAAGGAAACATTTCCTGCTGCCTGACCTCAACTGACCCTTCACATACCCGAGTCTGAGAAGTCTTGCTCTTGAGCCTTGAAGATAGATGGAGGCTGAACCCTGGGATAAATCAGACTGTTGCTGGTTGTTAAGTTTGTTTCCTTACTTAAGCCTGTGCCACTGGAACATCGTATCCCCCGCACGCCAGGATCCAAATCCATGACTGGCCAGCGCCTTGGGATGTCCTCCCCATGTGAAAGGCGCTGTACAAATGTAGTATTGTATTGCTAATAAAATAGAGGTGCAAAGTGTGATTCTTTTATTGCAGATTGTTGGCTGCCTGTGCCCAGAGGGGTTTTCAGGACCGAAGTGTTCAGACTATCTGGACTACTGCAAAGGCCAGCCTTGTTTCCCAGGGGTGAACTGCACCAACGTGCTCAGTCCACAGCTCTTTCAGTGCGACAGATGCCCCACAGAAACAGTCGCCAATGGAAAGGAGGGACACAAATGCTTCTTAAACGGTGAGAATCAATTCCTTTTTTTTTGGGGGGGGGGGGGGGGTAGGGTGGGAGGGGGTGTGTGGGGGAAGGATTAAATAAAATAAAATAAATAACCCCAGGAATCGATTGGATTAAAAGTGCAAGTATTTTCTATGAATACAAACCGCCGTGAATCTTCAAGCGGAAATGAGGAAAAAGATGCTACGAGTGACGTTTTGGGTTAAAAGTGTAGATTGAAAGCTCTTTCAGTCGGTAAACTCATTGCCTCGTGTGAAACTGGACTCCTCGGGCTCGCAAAATGTTACCCCAAACCTGTGCTAAGTTAACTGATCGCAGCCAGAGCAGCAAACAGAGTGCTCCAGTTAAGCCTCACCTCGCTGTGCTAAGAAGGAAGTTAATCTGCTTCCATTTGCTAGTTGGCTAACCCTGGCTGGAAAGTGCTCATGTAGAACGTTAGCTGAGTACCAGATCAGGCAACCATGCCCCTGCCCTCTGGAACTCTCTTAAATTCCCTTCAGCTCGTGCCTTCGCTCCCTGCCTTCAAAGCCTTCTTACGAACCTCCTTCGTTAACCACACCGTTGGTCACGAGGCTCGAACTCCCCCTTCTGCTCAGTGACTCAAGACAATGGCTTCGCAAAATGTTTTTTTGAGATGTTCCTCCTAATTTGAAGGAAAAATGTGAATGGATATTGTTGATGTGTTGATCAGGAAGCAATGAATAAAAGTAGCACTGAAAGATCCAGGGTTATAAGACACCCTACCAAGTGCAAGGATTATTATTATTATTAGTGGGACGCCCTCCCAGCATGAAAGGCGCTTTACAAATGTAATTTTGTTTCTGTTGTATTATTATTTCAATAGGTTATTTATCACCTGATTTGCTAATGAAATTAAACCATTTTAAACCTTAGTTTTAAACGTGTTTCTTTATCTTTTCTTGATTTGGCATCTTCGAAAATGTATCTTACAGTAAATCAATGGAACGCGACTTTTTTTTATACAAATTCTTTATTTAAAATAACTAATTTTCAGATAAATGCCTCCCACCGTTTCCTTTTCCTTGTCACAAATTGGCCGAGTGCATCGACACCGGGGACAATTACACCTGTCAATGCTATCCAGGGTTCACTGGTGATGGAAAAGACTGCACAGGTAAGAAGATGGTGCCCCTGTGATCATTGGAGTCCTGTGTAACTCAGTGTTTAGAGCACTCGCCTCGCAAGCGAGAGGAACTGGGTTCGATTCCCGGGCAGGGAGAAACTTTAAGCAAGATTCCTTACTCCACAGGCCTCTGATTACCTAGCAGCAAGTAGGAACCCGGTTAATAGTCAATTGGCAGATTGCTTAACCGGGGTAATAATCCATTCAAAAATAAATAAAAATAATAACTTGGTCACTCAATCCATGACGGTTTGTGGGACACCACTGTGTGCAATTGGTTGCCCACAAAACATAAAATTCACTTAACAGTATATTCTGTGAAGCGCTTTGAGACGTCTCAAAGACGTGATAAGGCGCTATATCAAATGCAAAGATTATTATTGTTATTATTATCCTGCATTTTCGATTATTTGGAGAAGTGACACTGATTGTTGAAGTTGTGTGGTTACTCGCGCCTGTCTGGATTTTTTTCTGATAACAGACGTAAATGAATGCAACGACAAATTTATCTGCACAAGTGCCAAATACGAGTGCATCAACACCTACGGCTCTTTTCAGTGCTCCTGCAGGTATCACAGTGTAGACCGTCCTGAAACATGCGGTGAGTATGAGAGGGAGAAATTTCATATAGAAACAACAGATGGTTTTATGAATGGAATATGAACGAGTCATATTTACTGCACATTTGGATTGGAGCTCCAGTTCTCTTCTTAGACTGGACTCAATGAGTTCTGTGACGTGAAAGAGCTAGTCTCTTTAAACTATGCTCTTACTGTGTAGCGATGGAAAAATCTAGACATTTATCATGCAGTCATCGCTTACGATTAATTAATTCTATTTTGCGGGGATGCAATTGTTTCAAAATCCTCTGCCACAAATTCAGTAGGATCCCATTTTGCTCATTATCTCAGTTCCTGCCGCAGATTGCCATTACTATTAATTGGTGATTTCTGTGGTGTCTTCAGGAGGATGTGTGGAGCAGAGGCCAGATGCTTTTCTCTATCTCAAGGGAGAAATCAGGGCAGTGAATTAACACAACACACCACTGTGTGCAACTCCAGGAGAGCATTTCCAGGACATGATCAGGTGGCTCTGGCAAGAACCACTGCCTTTTAATCCATTGCATATTTAAAATAGGAAAAGGAGGAGGACGTTCAGCCCCTCGAGCCCATTCCGCCATTCATATAAGAGCATGGCTGATCTGTAACTCAACTCCAATTACCCGCCCTTGACCTATATCCTGAGCGAGAGACCTGGATTCGATTCCCAACAGGGCGAAATGTTGGGCAAGTTTCCTGACTCCACACTCCTCCGTTTACCTAGCAGTAAGTAGGAACCCGGCTGTTAGTCGCTTTTCTGGGGGGAATAATTCCTTTAAAAAAAAGAATAATAAATTGGTCACTTCAATCCACGACTGTGTGTGGGACGCTGCTGTGCGCAATTGGCTGCCGCGTTTTGCCCACAAAATATACGGTCAAATCACTTTACGGTATATTCTGTGAAGCGCTTTGAGACGTCTCAATGACATGATAAGGCGCTATATAAAATCCAAGCGTTATTATTATTATTATCCATTGATATTCTTACCTAAGAAATGTCTATCCATCTATCCAAGAAAAGGGAAGGATTAAAAAAATAAGTGACATATGACTGGGAGGGTAGGTGAAGGGATGAGAATATCTACTTTTGCAACCAATGAATAAATCACAAACCCTATAATGGAGTAGCACTGCTTCGTAAGTTAGGGTAGTAAAATGTAGAAGCATCTTAGAGAATGTTGCACAAAAGAATTGCTGTCTGCTTTTGACAAAGTAGTTTTTAAAGGATAGGTTGAAGAACAAAGTTTTCATTTGTGACACTTTGTTCAAATACATTATAATTCATCTGTAACGAGTACCTTCCCAACTGGCTTTAAGCCATTTTAAAGCGCAGATGGCCTCCCACTACAAATATAATTTTCATTCAGTAATTTATGGTTTAGACTCACATCGTCAAATGTTTGGTGTGAAGGTTAGGCTTCACTGTACAATGAATCACCGCATTAAACTTTGTAAACTGTGGTTGCAGTGGTCTGGCATTGGATTGTGGACGAAGGAGACTGGAGCGTTTCAAATGGAATTCACATTAGTTCCAAGACTTTTACTGAAAGCTGAATTTTGCTTGGCTCAGCAAGATTTTTGTTTTTTTGGGGGATGCGGGAAAGGTTAGCTGGTAACCGAGGGGAGGAGGAAACTTATTGTTGCTCAGTCAAGAACTCCTCTTGGCCAACTGGCAGCCAGACAATGTTTCCTCCAGCCCTAAATAACAGCGCAATAAGCTAATCTAGGTTGTTGAGAGGAAATGGGAGGTGAGGTTGGGGGGTGAAGGGGGTGGGGGGGGGGGGGGGAACGCATGAGAAAATGCGTAAAATAACAAATGCATCTGGACACTTTTCAGGACCAATCTGAAACAAACTCATTGCGTTATTATGGGATGAGTGCTTTCCTTTTCTGTTAATCACGTACGAGGAGTTCAGGCAATACACGAGTGGATCATGTGAAGATACAGACGAGAATTGTTGACGGATACAGTAGCCGATATCAAATAACTCCGTTTGAGGTGCTTGGGCAGGACTTGTCATTATTCCGCTGCCAACGTCTTTCCGTGTAACACATGAAATTTCAGCCGACTCACGGAATGCTAAATTTTGAGTTACAATAAAACTGATTTGCAGGGTCATTCGCGCTGGAGTTTTTCCAAGTCATTTTAAAAGGGCAAGAACAAAGAGTGTGAAGAGATTTACCTTCTTGTGTTACCATACATATCGTCATACTTACGCCGGCTTTCTGATTGCTGCTGTGGATTCGCGAAGCCTCGAGTGTTCTCAGGAGTCCAGATTGTATTCAAAGAATCACAAAGAATTTGCAGAACAGAAACAGCCACTTGGTCCAAACAGTCCTCGTCGCTGTTCCTACTCGACACGAGTCTCCACCCATTGCTTATTCCCTCCCACACCCTTCTATTCCCTTCTCCCTCGTGAGTAGGACTATTTTCCTGTTGAATACGTATTAACTGATTCAGCCATTGAATTAGTTCCACAATCTCACAAGCCTCTGCATCAAGCAGTTCCTCCTAAATTCTCTTTTCGGGAACTTATTCTTTCCAGCCACCTTTAAATTTTGTGTTGTTCTCCTGAGCCCAGGATGAATCGATACTGCTGTCGCTGACTGACAGGGTGGAAAGCCTAAGGTGCAGGTTACAATCCTGCCTTTCAGTTCATTTGAAATTTAATCAGAATTGAATCCTTTATTCAGTGAATAATTAGATTAAAAATCGATTCTGGAGCCATGAATCCAGAGGCCTGAAATTCCACTTAACCTTAGCCCAGTAGGTTAGTGGTCAGAGCATCGCCTCACGAGCGAGAGGAGCCGGGTTTGATTCCCGTGCGGGGTGAAGCCTTAGGCAAGTTTCCTTACGCCACATGGCGCTGTTTACTCGTCAGTAAGTAGGAACCCCGGTTGTTAGTCGATTACTGGCTCTCTTTCGGTAGATAATAATCTCTCAAAAAAAATTGGAGTCATTTAATCCGCGAGTGTTTGTGGGAAACCGCTATGCACAATTGGCTGCCGCATTTCTCTCGCAAAATACACACTCAGTCCACTTTACAATATATTCTCTGAAGTGCTTTGAGACTTCTCAGCGACATAATAAGGCGCTATATCAAATGCAAGGATGATTTTTTTGTCTTAAGAGTTACAATTGCACAGAGTGGGGAAACATTCTTCAATTTAGTCTTAATTTGGAAACTTTTTGTTTGCAGTGCTTAATGATAATTGACTTCCCATGGTCTTACGTGCTTAGACAAGGTGGAATTTCATGCTTCAGATGTCCCTGAGCTTGTTTTTTCAATCATACGATTCATCTCCATAATGTGTTTGATTATATTTCTGTTCCATATGTTATTGGCAGCTTTCAATAACATCTGGTTGCTTTATTTATGCTTTAGTTCACTTAAGCACTAAACCCTACCACAACAAGAACAGTTTATACTTATAATAGTGCCTGTCACATCAGGAGGACATCTTAAAGAACTTCACATAGTTTACCGGGTGCCTGAGTTGGGAGTGGGGGGGGGGAACTGAGGAGGGGGAAAGGTGACCGAAACCGTGATCGAAAAGATGTCTTAAGGTGGGCTTTAAAGGTGCGGAGGTGGCAGGTCATTGATAATAGTTGGGAATGAGTAATTATGAAGAAAATAATTAATTCTAGATTCATTTTTCGCTTTACACGAATCTCGTGGCTTCCTCATCGGTGAGGATTGCTAATTCAATCTTGCTCTGATTTTAATTTGCAACGTAGAAAATCCAGCCGCTGTTACATTTTAGAAAAGCTTTAACGCGGCGTGGTTCATTTTTCTTTACGACAGCCTTACGTTCTGCTCATTTATTTCCACAGGTGAGTTAGGAAATCCGCCAGGTGAGTTGAAAGTTGAATTCAATTATAGCGTGATGACAGAGTGTGGCTTTCAAAATGTATTTTGCAATCCGAATTGAATGCATTGTTTCAGTATAACATTGGTATTGCTGGTACCTTGAAGCAGCAGTGGAGTGATATGATCCTTGTATAATCCTTAGTATTCCCCAAGCTTTGGGTTCCCAATTTCAACTGTAACAGTGAGCTAAGTACGTGGTGGGCACCAACTGAAGGAAAGGACAAAAAAAAAAGCAATGGTACGGTCACCCGAGTTATTCTGGCACATCTCTTAACACCTGTCTACGGAGCACTAATTCCAGAGACTGGGAATAGGTCTCCAAGTCCATTTATTGGCATCAACCAAGAAATGAATATAAAGATGTGATTAACAATGTACATTTGCAGATAGATGACTGAATCTAATAGGAATTTATCAACTTGGATACCAACAATTAATGCTTGGGGAAAGTACAATATCATTGTACAGTCGAGTCCTGCAGCTCAGTGGTTAGAGCACTCACTTTGCAAGTGAGAGACCTGAGTTCAATTCCAGGCAGAGGGCGAAACCTTGGGCAAGTTTCCTTACTCCACACAGAGCCTAATAATAATCCCTCCAAAACCAAAAACAATAATAAATTGGTCATTTTCAATCTACGACTGTTTGTGGGACATTGCTGTGCGCAATTGGCTGCCGCGTTCGCCCACAAATATACAGTCAATTCACTTTACAGTGTGTTCTGTGAAGCGCTTTGGGACGTCCTCCTGACGTGAATAGCGCTATATCAAATGCAAGGATTATTATTATTATTATTTACCGTTACATACGGTTTCACATCAAGAGGATGACTCAAAGCACTTAACATTCATGTCTGGACACCCAAGCTAGGGGTGGGAGCTGAAGAGGTGGGAGAGGGGGAGGAAGATAAGTGTGGGATAAGTGTTATCCCAAGTGTGGGAAGATCACACTTGCAGCACTGCGTACAGTTCTGGTCCCCATATTATAGAAAGGCTATGGAGGCACTGGAGAAGGTACACAGAAGATTTACAAGGATGATACCGGAATTGCAAGGTTATACCTATCAGGAAAGGAGGTGTGCAGCGGTGTCCCCCAGGGATCGGTATTGGGACCACTGCTTTTTCTAATATATATTAATGATCTGGACGTGGGCATAGGCAGCACTATTTCCAAGTTTGCAGATGATACCAAGTTAGGTAGGGTAGTAAATAGTGAAGAAGATTGTGACGCACTGCAAGCAGACATACACAGAATGGTGGAATGGGCTGACATGTGGCAGATGGATTTCAATGTAGGTGATACACTTAGGTAGGAAAAATGGTAGGAGGCAATATAGACTTGGTAGCTCAATCTTAAGGGGGGTGAACTTACAGAGCATTCAAATAAGCGATTCATTGAAGGTGGCAGTGCAGGTAGATAGGGCAGGAAAAAGGGCATTTAGTGTACTGAGCTTTATTAGTGAGGGCATAGAGTATAAGAGTAGGGGTTATGGTTAATCTATACAAAACACTGGTTAGGCCTCAGCTGGAGTACTGCGTCCAGTTCTGGGCACCTTACTTCAGGAAGGATATTAAGGCACTGGAAAGGGTGCAGAGGAGATTCACGAGAATGATACCAGGAATGGGGAACCTTAGCTATGAGGACAGTGGAGAAGTTAGGACTTTTCCCATTAGAGCAGAGAAGGTTACGCGGGGACCTGATAGAGGTCTTCAAGATCATGAAAGGTTTCGACAGGCGAGATAGGGAAAGCTGTTTCCGCTGGTAGGTGTGTCTGTGACTCGTGGTCACAGTCTTAAGATATCTACCAAAAGAAGCAGAGGGGAGGTTAGAAGAAATTTTTTCACTCAGCGAGTTGTTAGAATTTGGAATGATCCGCCCGAAAGGGCAGTGAAGTCTGATTCGATAACAGCTTTTAAGAGAGAACTGGATAGGTATCTGGGGAAGACGGGTTTGCAGGGTTATGGGGAGAAAGCTGGTGATTGGGGTTAGTGAAAGTGACGCTCTGTCAAAGAGCCGCACAGACTCGATGGGCCGAATGGCCTCCTTCTGTGCCGTAACATTCTATGATTCTATGAGGAAAGGCTGAACATACTCAGACTCTTTTCTCTTGAAAAGAGGAAGTGAGGGGTGACCTGCTAGAGGTCTTTAAAATGATGAAAGGTTTTGATAGGGTAGACATAGGGAAGATGTTTCCACTTGTGGGGGAGACCAAAATCAGGGGCCATCGATATAAAATAGTTACAAATAGATTAAATAGGGAAGTTAGAAGACATTTCTATACCCAGAGAGTGGTGGGAATGTGGAACTTGCGACCACAAGGAGTAGTTGAGGCGAATAGCATAGATGCATTTAAGGGGAAGCGAGATAGGTACACGAGGGAGAAAAGAATAGAAGGTTATGTTGAGGAAGGGCAGGAGGAGACTCAGGTGGAGCGTAAACGCCATAGACCCAGACTGGCCGAACGGCCTGTTTCTGTGCTATACATTCTATGTAATTCTATGTAATAAGTGAAAGTTCGGTCAAACGGGTGTCTGTCTCGAGACTGACCTTAAAAACCTTGCGTTGCTGAATGAATGAGTTAAACCACGAGAGCTCCTCACCTGCATCACTATCTGCTAATGACCATGATGAATGCTCCAATGTGTTTCAATGTAATCGGGGACCTTGCACTGATTAAACCATTCAGCCATACCTCATGTTTTAATCAGCCCCGTGTCCCCATTTGCAGCATCAAACACACTGGAACGTCCATTAGAACTGCATTGAAAGCTGTAGCGCATGACTTCTTTCTAGGAACTGATTTGAAATTTCAGATAAACTTAAATCTGCTAATTCCTCTAATGAATGTTCCCATGTGTGCAATGTTGGAGCAGGGAACCTAGAGCTAATTAAAGCTCTTGGCTGTATCTAACTCTTTAATCAGCTCTATGTTCCCTGTTTGATTAATAAAAAGGAAAGTCTGTGCAACATTTATTATAGTTATAATGAGAATTTGTCGAGTTAAATCTAATTAACGCGTATCATATATCAACAGAACTCCAAATATTACGCTTATTAAAGAGGCCAGAGTCCAATTAGTTCCCACACAGATTTTTTATCAATATTTAACCCAAAACAAATTGGAGAAAGGAGAAGTTAGAGGTCACCACCAAGTTTCCTGTCGTGCTTTGACTTAACAGTTCCATAGGAAAAATAATTCAGCTGAATGCTAATGGCTTTCAAAAAAAACATCTAACCGTGTTCTGGCTCAGGCATTCTCAGATAAATCTGATTGTTTTAAAATATTTTGTGTGGATAAAGTATTATGTGAAACAGTAGCGGAGCCATTAAATTATAAAATCGTGATGGCATCCAGGCTCCTCGGCAGAAATGCTTTGTTTTTCGGGGAAATAATGATCAAAGGGTTTAAATTTCATACAAGATCCCTTCTTCAATAACACCTCATCAATGGAAATATAAATTCCAGTCATTTCTAGGCATGTTTAGAGAATCCTGCTGTTATTCATGTAGGATTCTCTAAAATGCTAAGACAAGGGGTCGAATTTGTGGCACTTCTTGAAAGATTTGTTAATAAGGAATAGCTTTATTATTCCCATCAATCCTCAGGAACTACGGGTCAAAAGTAGGTAGGTCCAGTTAAGAGTATGAGAATATTCCTACGAGGTGGATGTTAATAGGCTCTTTCCACTTGTTGGCAAGTCCAAAGCGAGGAGGCGTAAAGAAACGATTGCTGGTAGCAGATCTAAAAGGGAGTTTAGGAGGAACTTATTTAAGCAGAGAGTGGTGAGGATGCAAAACTAACCGACAGAAGCTGTGGACCAGAAACCTGATGCATAGATGGGTGAGAAGGAAACAGAGGGCATTAGGAAGGATGGTCGCTCATGTGAAGTATTAATAACGACACAGTTATTATGGCCTGTTTCCATTTTATACTGTTTTATGTAGTTCTATGAGAGGGTTCCTTTTGAAGAGACTCAGCTTTGACTTTGACCAAGGACTTTGAACGAGCTTTCGAATGACTTGTTAAGGATTTCCATTGAAAAGTGCTGTAAATTAGACCCCCAGTGTCAGATAAAAGAAGGGAACATTCATGTGATTGATTTTTTTTCTCCAAGTATCTTATATTTTATATTGATTTTTAGGGTGGAATGTTTTCATCTGTACTCTCCAGTGGAAGAATGTGAACAAGTCATTTGCTCTCACGAATTCTAACAGTGATTTATTCATGAAGTATGACAAAGAATATACTACCAAGGTTTGCTGTTTCTTTGGAAAACTACTTTAATATTTTCTAAATTCTGCAACTAAAATACAAGCAAAATATTGTTAAACCCATTCGGAGGCTATAATTTAGCAACACATCAGCCCGGTGAAGATGAAAATGATCACATAGCCAAATAAATTAGCCCTACTCTATCTCCCTCACACCCACACACACACCACATTACATACCCACACCACACACACACTTCATCCTTTTAAAATACCAACACTATTACAGTATCAAACTGTTTCTGAAATGACTCCCGTGTCCTGGCCTCACCCACCTTTTCCTGGTAATTCATTCCAGCTCTCGATTTCCCCCTCTGTTTGTGGGGACGCTGCTGTGAGCAATTGGCTGCTGCGTTTCGCCCACAAAATATACAATCAATTCACTTTACAGTATATTCTGTGAAGCGCTTTGAGACGTCTCGACAATGTGATAAGGCGCTGTATCAAATGCAAGGATTATTATTACTATTATATCCAGACAAAAGTTGAATTTAGGATTGTGACTTGGGGTGTAAAACAAGAGGTTTGGAAGAACTTCTTCTCCAAGAGGCTTATCAAGGGTGACTGTTAGAGCAGAATTGAATGGACAAGCACATGCAAGGGAAAGATATTAGAGGGTATGAGGAGAAGAGCGAGTTGGGATTAGGAAGGATGACTTCCTGGAGGAGCTAACATCAACATGAAAAAAAAAATAGGTTGAATGACCTTTCACTGTCTCGTACATTTCTACGGTCTTTAGTTATTCAGTTGAAATCTAGAAATAACCATTTGTGGCTGAATCAAGGTTATTAGAGAAATGCAGTAGACTACTGACAAGCTCTCGGGTCAAACCCTTTGGTGTCCTCAGTACAAATCCAGATCAACATATTCTGATCTCCCAGCGACCACAAGGGTCAAATTCTGCCCTTGTTACGTTTGTGGTCAGCTGTAACCTGCTGTGATGCCACTGGATATTAAAAAAAAGGACTTGATTGAGTTTGTGAACCTATATAGACCCACCACGATAAGAACAAAAGAAATGCTAGAGGAAAAAGAGATGAAGGTCCAACTAGTTTGCCTTCCACCTTCCTGCTGGTCGCATGCACACATGTCCCCATCTACCTATGTACTATACCCCATAATGTTATATCCTAAAAGGAAACTATCTAATCTGTATTTGAAGGAATCGACCCATTGTGTAACTCCTTTCGTTTCCATCTGCAGCTTAATTCCGCTTTGGTGTTTGGGTTTCAAAACAAATTCTACAATCTCAGCTTGAAGTCATTCCCAAATGGAGGTCCTTCAACTGAATACAGGTGAATGTTTCCAGCGACACACCTCACTGGTATATCCAGGACTTCCTAGAACAGTACAATGAGGTTGACCCAACATCCGTCTCAGTAGAAGGTACGTTTTAGCTGTTTTGTCAAAAGGATACGCACCTTTAAAGCCGGCCTTAGGACATCTTTTCGATCACGTTTTCGGGATCACAGGATACTAGCTCAGCTCATTAATAATTATGAGTCACACAATAATGACGTTTGGCCCACAAAGCATACAGTCAATTCACTTTACAGTATATCCTGTGAAGCGCTTTGAGACGTCTCGAAGACTTGATAAGGCGCTATATCAAATGCAAGAATTATTATTCGGCCACACTTCTACCCCTCTCTGCCCTCCACCCCTACTGATCCCAACCCCCTGCTCGGGTCCAAATCCCTGACTGTCCAGCGCCTTGGGATGTTCTCCCGACGTGAAAGGCACTGTAACAAATGTAATTTGTTGTTGTTATTGTTGTGTATTTAACTTTAGGTTCTATCTGCGTTGTGATTCGGCTGCTGCCACTGCTAGTTCAAAGATACTTGCAGTCTTCCAGTCAGTTAATCTGGTTGATATTTGCTTCCTAATCCAAACGTACACCCAATTTTTCAAATTAATCTTGTCCCAGTGTTGTTTGCTGGATATAGATGGTGCGGGTTACTGCCACATTGACCTGTGTTAACATTCACCTCGTTTCAATTTTATTTTGTAAAGCTCTTTGAGATGTATGGGTTTTTTTTAACAAAAAAAGGTGCTGTGCCCTGAATCGCTGGAACTCCCTGTCTCAATTCCTCTGTTTGGACCCCCCTCTTTGCCCATCTTTAAATTGCACCCAAAGACTTTCCTCTTCGATTATGCCTTTGGTCACCTCCCCTCTATTTCCAGCTGGACCACACTGTTCTAAGAGCTCCAAAAAACTACCTGACTGAAAGGCACTGTATAAGTGCAAGTTGCTGTTGCAAGAGCAACTTATTATTCGGTCACATCAGAATATGATCATGTTCATTCTATACACTCCATAGATTTGGACGAATGTGCCAGCGGAGAGGGACACTGTGATGGGAAAGCAAAGTGCGTGAACACATATGGTAGCTTCAAGTGTGTTTGCAACGAAACTACTGACGTGGAATCCCAGTTGTGCTTCAGTGGTATGAATTGATTAATTCAAAGATTTTTATGAGGATGGCAGAAGTGTCGGGTCTGCACGTGCCCTGTCAAATAGTGAGGGATCACTTACTGTACAGTGTTGAATTGCTAAAAAAGGAAACAAAGATCAAATTGAATGGAACAAGTAAAGGACCTTTAGCGCACTTAACCCACCCTTTCTACAGAGTGTCAATATCTATGTCAAGCTTCGAAATGCAAGTGAAACATTTGCCTCACTCCCGGCTCTTTTATAAAATTAAAGAGTAAACAGTGTGTAGTGGTGGTTAACAGGGTTCTGTGCATGCACAAAGCTCTCTGCAACCCTGGCAAATGTCAGTTTGAAGCAGGGAATAAAATGCTCTTCAACGTTGCAAATCGATTTACTGCCAAAAGTTGTATGTAACCCGCTTCCAGCAGTATAAATGGAGCATTAAAGTGCAAGTCTTCAGTAAGTTGTTAGAAAACATTTATGGGGGGAGGGGGGAAATCTTGTAGATTATTGTTTAGATGAATAATGAGGGTTATTTTTGTCTTGGACATCCTTTGTATGAGATTTTAAACCAAGGTCCCAACTGCCTGGAAAGGAAAAGGAAGATTCTCCCCGGCCAATTTCAGGCTGTTTGTGGGACATTGCTGTGCCCAAACTGGGTGCCGCTTTTCGCCTTCAAAACACACGGTCAAAATCACTTTATAGTATATCGCGTGAAGCACTTTGAGATGTCTCAACGATGTGACAAAGCACTCCATCAAATGCATTGTTGATTATTTTTGATGGAAGTGATATGTGAAATTCCATTGCTTTTTAAACTGCATAAAAGAGGTCTCGGAGGTTTGAGCATTCGTATAAGATGTTTTACTCAGCGTGGATCGAACATGTCATTTGCCAAATTATTCCTCGGTGTCTCTGAATTGTCTCAATTTCTACTTTTTTAAGCAGGTAAGACGTTGGATAATAGCACAAGTAACGGAGAGGTAACAGAGAACAGCGATCGGAACAGATTGCTGCTAAAACTGCTATTGGGAATAGGAATCTCGCTCCTACTGTTGCTTTTACTTTCTTTCCCTATTTGTTACTATTGCTCCAAGAGGAAAACCGTAAAAGCTGAGTAAGTACCAACAGCTTTGAATAGTAAAGCTTTTAGCGTGATCTCAATGATTAGTTATCAAACAACGGGGTGTCACAACAACAACAAATTACATTTGTAATCGCGCCTTTCGCATCAGGAGGATGTCCCAAGGCATTCTTAAAGAGATTCTGCAATGAAGAATCCTGTTACACTTCTTGATAACCTGAAGGAACTCTGTTCCGGAAGTAGATTTGATCCACAGTCCTTCCTGTTAACAAAAAGAGTCCTCGATTGTATTAATTGGGTTCGTCATTAAGGAATCCAACTGAGAAATACCACAAATCAGACGCCAGTATTAAATCTTGTACTCAGTGCATTGAAACACAAACTGATCTGTTAGACAGACAGACATACAGATAGATATCCATCAATGCACAAATCTACAGCTCTCAAACAAGCAGCTGCATTAATTCACTATTATTATTTAATAACAGTAAGTTGCCTTTCCTGTTTTACTTACAGTATAGCTTCAACATCAAATGGAACAGTGCACAAATCCTTCTCGGCTACTGACCTTCAAGGTGAAGCTCCTGTCTACAATGTTCATCACCTTCCTTTACGTGCGTGAAATATGGAAGAATATGAAAAAACTTGAATGTGCACCATGTGAAATACAGATTTTAAAGAAATAATTTATAATTTAAAAGCCATAAACTGATTTTGTACAAAACTGTTTAATGTACATTTTCACAGTTAACGGTAATGGTACGGGGTAGTTATTAAACATCGATCATTTCAATGGTTGCACAGATTTAAATGTTATACATAACAGGACTTTCTTTCACTTTCTAAAATTCACAATCCTTTCTTCCCTTGGATTGCTGTAGCTCAGCGGTTAGAGCACTCGCCTCGCAAGCGAGAGGACCTGGGTTCGATTCCCAGCCAGGGGGCGAAACCATGGGCAAGTTTCCTTACTCCACACACCTCTGTTTACTTAGCAGAAAGTAGGAACCCATTTGTTAGTCGATTTGGTGGATCGCTTTTCCGGGAGTAATAATCCCTTCAAAAAAAAATAATAATTTGGTCATTTATTCCATGACTGTTTGTGGGACACTGCTGTGCGCAACTGGTGGCCATGTTTCGCCCACAAAACATACAGTCAATTCACTTTACTTTATTATTATTATTATTATCATCTGAACTATCCAGAGCTGACTGGTTTGCTCTACATTTCTGATGAACCTTATAAAGTAGAATTAGAAAAATTGAACCAACCCATAAGTAATTTCTTAAGTCTTTGCGCTCATACTCTTGAAACTTTTTTTCCCCCCTCAAAAGCTTGTTTATGCTAATAATTTTTTTCGATGCAACAATTATAGCCAAGCAGTAATAATAATATTCCTTGCATTTGATATACCGCCGCGGCAGCCAATTGCGTGCAGCAGTGTCTCGCAAGCAGCCATGGATTCGGTGGCCAAATTATTATTATTGTTTATTTTTGTTTTATTTGAAGGGATTATTACCCCCGGAAAAGCGATCCACCAATCGACTAACAACCGGGTTCCTACTTACTGCCGGGTAAACAGAGGCGTGTGGAGTAAAGGAAACTTGCCCAATGTTTCGCCCCCTGGCTGGGAATCAACCCCAGGTCTTCTCGCTTGCGAAGCGAGTGCTCTAACCACTGAGCTACAGGACTCCAGAAGGACAGGGCAGTATGCAGAGGGCCAGGTTAGCATACTTTATGAATTGCAGGAAAATGTAGTTGTGTTGTTAAACTGAGAGATTGAGCAGTGCTGCGACGCAAGGGATACAGGCAGTGTCACATCCATCTTGAACAGTTGCACGTGGATCTATGCCTTCAATTATTATTGAGGCATTTTCCTGACCTTCGGTGGGTTTAGATGGAACGTGAATTACTTTAGGAATACGAGACTTACCTTGGGTCACCGGTATGCTCACCTCTTCAAGGGGCAATGTGGAGTAGTATTTATGTTTCATTAATGAAAGGGAGCTAGCCAAATCTGCTGTCAAGTTAATGTGTAAAATAAGATTTTTATTGGAACTTATTCCCAGCAAAGAAACAGTGGATAAAACAGTGAAGTGTACGTCAACTTGTTCTTGATACAGCGCCTTCTGTTACGTAAGCAAAGCCGTCAGCAAACTTGCCGTAGCAACGTCCCACGAACAGAAACAAGGTGAATGATGTATTTCGTTTTGTTTTTAAATAAACCTACGGATTTAATGCTGAAACTTCATGTTAAATATTGTGATGGAAAAGTTGTAGAGCTTTCAATGGCAAAGTTCCCGACAGGAAAGTGGAACAGTCCATGAACAGTGCAGCTTTTGATAGGTTTTACTGTGGCACATCTCCCGGCAGCAGCCTCAAAGAATAACAGTGGTAGCAATCTGTGCCACATCCGTCTCAGCTGGAGAATAGTGTGCTTTAAATAATAATCTTTGCCTTTCAGGATGAGGGGATGTCCCAAAGTGTGCCGCAAGGGTTTACTGTAGCGCGTAGTGACTGTGTATTTTGAACGTGGCAGCCAATTGGTGCACGGTGATATCCCGCAATCAACCATGAGGTGAATGAGCAATTTTATCTGGAGGATTGTTGATCGTGGCATTAGGATAAACTCACTGCAAAGAAGAAAACTTAAAATGTTAAAAGTACGGACAAGGAAACATCACATAGTGTTAATCCTTAGAGTGCCAAAGGACAACAGAACTAGGTTTTGCAGTTTCCCTGCCTATGCACAGTGACACTGAAAAAATATTACAGTAATTACTCAGGAATTATTGTAATACTCTCTATAAATTACCACGATGGATACAAAAAAAGTAAAGCAATAAAAATCTGTGCTTTAACCTGTTTTCACATTACTTTCTATTTTCTCTTCTCTATCCTCTTATTGTTTCATTTAAACATTTTTGTAATCATTTTCAATTTTTCTGCATTTTCTACCTTTCTAACATCTCTGCCCTGATAACAACTTGCTGCTCCTTTCCTCCGGGCTCCATTTTGTTCTCATTTTAAAGGTCATCTCTATATTATCCTCTACCAGAGGGTTGTTGTAAACTTGATGAACGGGAAGATTGTGCAGCAATCAAGGCAAAGGTCGTGGCCAAGTACAAATTAACCTCGGTGTTGCTCTAAGGCTTTAGGATATGCATAACCTATCAAATTTTAAATCAAAATTGGACCGATATTTCTCCTCCAATTTTCTCCCCTTCTCCTGAAGACGTTTTGCTTGGTTTTCATTCTACCGGCGTGTTACACGGTCTCATAACTGTGAGATATATCATATCAGTCATATCATAACTGTGCTTGATCTTATCCTTGTGTACACGCAGACTCCAACAATGATTTCCAGTTGAGCAGGATCATGGCCCTAAGGACTTGCAGGATAATACATAAATATTCTTAAAAGAACCGTAGCTCAGCGGTTAGAGCACTGTTTGATTCCCGTCAGGGCGAAATGTTGGGCAAGTTTCTTTACTCCACACGCCTCTGTTTACCTGGCAGTAAGTAGGAACCCGGTTGTCAGTCGATCGGCGGATCGTTTTTCATGGGGTAATGATCCCTCAAAAAAAATAATAAAAAATTGGTCTCTTCAATCCACGACTGTTTTGTGGGGACGCTGCTGTGCGCAATCGGCTGCCCGCGTTTCGCCCACAAAATATACAGTCGATATACTTCACAGAATATTCTGCGAAGCGCTTTGAGACGTCTGGAAGAAGTGATAAGGCTCTGTGTCAAACGCAAGGATTATGATTATTATTATAACCGCGAATGGGATTGGCGCATTCTCCCAACCCTTTCCAGTCGGTCGCGAGAGAGATTCGGACGAAGAACACCTTTTGATTCTCACCTTTCCAAAGTATCCACATTAATGTGCTCCCTTCACCGCCGGGGGCCTCCGAGGCAGGAATGTTACTCCCTGAGCCGGGCTGACACACACATAAACTGTTGTTGTGGATATTTCGTAAACCAACACAGATTTTGAAATGCAACTTTGACCGCATTTTGTAACAATGGATGTGTCTCACAGCCCCTCTCTTGTGCGCCAGGTATGTAAATAGCACCTTACATTTGAAGCAGAACACATTTCAAAGAATTCTGCTGACGTAATGCCCCTTTTCCTAGGAAATTTGTTTTGTGTTATGTATTTTTTTGTGATGCAGAGATGAGATTAACTGACACGTGATAATATGGTGCTTCGGCCGGGCTCTGTGTTAGCATTCTTGCCTCTTCCGTCAGAAAGTGGTGGGTTCAAGCCCCAGGTCAGGACTTTGAATCTCATAGTCTTAACACTCCAATGCAATGCTAGGGGTGTGTTGCGTTGTCCGACCTGCCACCCGTCCGATGAGATGTTGAACTGAGGTCCTGTACTGCCTGTTCAGGTGGACGTTAAAGATCCCACGGAGCTATTCGAAAGGAAAAGGGAGTTTCTCCCTGTGTCCCGACCAACAATTCCCCCAAATAAAAATTGATCAATCACCCCATGGCTGTCTGTGGGACATTGCTGTGGCTACTGCGGTACAGCAGTGTCCCACAAACAGTCGTGGATTGAGTGACCAAATTATTATTATTATTATTTGGGGGGGGAGGTGTTATTATCACCGGAAAAGTGATCCATCAATCAACTGACGATCGGGATCCTCCTCATTTTCTTTCAGAAGAAAGTGTAGCTTTGAATACAGCGAATTTTTGCTAATTGAGTATTCAATTTGACAGCGAAAATTATTCAATAAACCAAATTATTCATGTAACCAGACTAAACGTAAGAAGACTCATCTCCCGAAACTCTGGATTCTGTTCTATAAACTGAGCTGTTCAATTATCCGATATTCAATTAACCACATTTCACAGTACTGTCAAGTACAACAACAATCCTTAAGTAGCATCTTTCACCTAGGAGGATTATTTTCCGGGGGTAATAATCCCTTTAAGAAAAAATAATAATAGTCGTAATTTGGTCATTCAATCCACGACTGTTTGCGGGACACTGCTGTGCGCAATTGGTGGCATGTATTGCCAGCGAAATATACAGTCAAACACTTTACACTCTGTGAAGCACTTTGAAAGCTCGAAGATGTGATAAGGTGCTATAGTAAATGCAATGATTATTATTATTATTAGAGATGAACATCTGAAAGTGCTTCATCGAGACAGAGGAGAGACCCAAGCAGGAAAGGAGGGGAAATACACAACGCTGCCAAACATGATACAATTTTAAGAGGGTTTTGAAGTTGGGGAGAGAGGGTGCAAGGGGAAGAGATTTTAGGAGAGAAGGTGCCAGACACTGCATTTATAAATTAGTTTCAAAATATAGATTCAACGGTTCTATCTTATTCCGGATAGTATTCAGAGACACTTTTGTTTGCATCCCTGCAAAGTGTTGGAAGAGAAATGTGCACATCTGATTGTACTGGGCTAACAAAGTGGTATCCTATTCAGTAAGGCTCCCAGCGTATTCAGTTCTTTCGAAAAGATTTGATTTTGTAGCCCTTCTGGCTTTGCAGTCGACCTGTGGAGTCCTGTAACTCAGTGGTTAGAGCGCTCACCTCGCAAGCGACAGACCTGGGTTCGATTCTCGGCAGGACGAAACCTTGGGCAAGTTTCCTTACTCCACACGACTGATAATAATCCCTCAAGAAAAAAAAAACAAAATAATAAAATGATTCACTTCAATCCACGACTGTTTTGGCTGCCGCGTTTCGCCCACAAAATATGCAGTCAATTCACTCTACAGTATATTCTGTCAAGTGCTTTGAGACGTCTCGAAGACGTGACTAGGCGCTGTATCAAATGAAAGGCTTATCATTTATTTATTTACCTGTCATAGTGTAATCAGCACTGAAACACCAAACTGTCTCGAATGACC